GCTTTCAGGCCTAAGACAGGACTAGAACTCACCATCCCCTGGTGACTGACCCAAAGTTACCCAGTGGGCTTTCGTGCCTATAAGGCGGGACTAGAACTCACTGTCTTCTGGTGATTGGCACTAAAGTCACCCAGTGGGCCCTCATGACTAAGGCAGGGTTTGAACTCAAGTCTTCTGGTGACTGGCCCAGTCGTCCATTGGGCTTTCATGCCTAAAGTGGGACTAGAATTCATAGTCTCCAGGTGGTTGAGTCGCAGTGGCACAGTGGTTAGAGTGCAGTCCTGCAGGCTACATCTGCTGCCTGCCATTTGGCAGTTTGAAGGTTGACTCAGCTTTCCATACTTCCAAAGTGACTCTGTAAACCACTTAGAGGGGGCTGTAAAGCACTGTGAAGTGGTATATAAATCTGCTGTTGCTGTAGGTCCAGCCACCCAGCCAGCTTTGGTGCCTAAGGTGGAACTAGAACTATCTCCCAGTGATTGGCCCAAAGTCACTAAGCCAGCTTTCATGGCTAAGGCAGGACTAGAACTTACCGTCTCCTGGTGATTGGCTCAAAACACCCAGTAGGCTTCCATGCCTAAGGCGGGACTAGAACTCATTGTCGCCTGGAGATTGGCCCAAAGTCAGCCAAATGATTTTCATGTTTAAGGCGGGGCTAGAACTCACTGTCGCCTGGAGATTGGCCTCAAAGTCACCTATCCAGCTTTCATGCCTAAGGCAGAACTAGAACTCCCTGTCTCCTGCCTTCTCGCCTAGTCCCTCAGCCACTAGACCAAACTGGCTTATTTTTCTTGCTTGTCCAGAAGTGTCTGGAGGATATGGTCGAAAAACTCAAAGGTAGAAACCGATCAAGGACAGAAGCAACCTGGAATTGTGGAGAAACGTCCTAACAGTGAGAACAACCAACCACCGGAACAACTTGCCTTCAGAAGTGGGTGTCCCATCACTGGAGGTTTTTAAGAAAAAAACTGGACAGCCCCTTGTCTGAAATGGTCCAGGGTCTCCTGCTTGACAGGGTTGGACTAGATGACCTAAAAGATCCTCCCAACACTATTATTATAAGTCTTATAGCGAGGGCATTCACGACAACGCAACTGAAGCTTCATCGGTTTCTATGTCCACGTAGACCTTGAGTCACGACTGTAGTGGAGCCGGCCTATTAAGCTTCTAAGTTGTAATGGTCGTAAAATGATTTTGATGGTTTTTTTGCATCAGGTGTTCAGCGAATCAGTATGGTTGTTACATGAATCACTGGTAGTTAAACGAACGGCATGATTGTTAAACGAAGCGAAGGTTTGTGATGGGTGTGGTTCTGCTGAAAAAGGGCAGTTAACTGCCGGCGTTCGGCAAAACCATCGTAAAATGAGAACGCGTGATTGTGGCTTGCTGCAAACAGCCTTGGATGCATGTTGAACAGTGCCTGAACAGCGGTCACGTGATTGTAGAGGGAACCAACCTTTGGAACTTCAGATCTGGGTCTGGGGTCTGTCGCAAATTTGAAAGCTTCTTTTAAGTGACTGGTTATTAAGCCGAGGACTAACCGTATTGTAGATCAGGGGTCTCCAACTCTGGCAACTTTCAGACTTGTGGACTTCAACTCCCAGAACTCCTCAGCCTCAGGCTGAGGAATTGTGGGAGTTGAAGTCCACAAGTCTTAAAGTTGCCATGGTTGGGGACCCCCCTTGTAGATAACAAGTGACACCGACAGTCAGATCTGTTCCGCTCCTCCCATCACTTCAGCCTCCCTGAGATCTGGAGTCAACCTCTCCATTTGCAAAGCATTTTTGGGGCTGGCAACGACACAACAGCCTAATTCAGCAGTGCACCATCTGTGCAGCTGGGCTCTTATTTGCGCTGTTATTGTGACTTGTGTCCAAATATCCATCAAGAGCTTACACCGGTCCAATGTCTGGTTTTTTTTTTTTCAACATAGACCACCCTGTCCTTGAATGGCTGGGTGGACTGGACATTAATATTTGAACCACTGTAAGTCCCTGTATTTGCCATATGCTAAAGAAATACATGTGATTTGAGCAAGGACTATTCCAAAGAACAGTACGTTTTATGACCCCTGGCATCCAGGCTCTCGCATCTGGCACTGGCATCTCTTGCGAGCGAGCTTTTTACATTCAACTAGAAACACTGACAGCTATGATGGGGCTTGGTCTCATCGGAAAAGGTCAATGGCATTTTTGAGCTCTTCCCAAAATTAGTTTCATGACTCAATGCTGGTCCCTTCCTTTCTTCTATACCCCGAACTGAGAGACAGGCAGATAAATTCCAATAACAACAAAAACAGGAGCAAGAATAGAGCAATAGAACACTCAAACCCACTCTACCATTCAAGGAATTGCATAATAGTGTAATAGTGTATGGACTTTGGGCAAAATACAACTCTTAGCTGCACTCCAGGGCAGTTCGGACCTGGCCAATGCTGAAGGGTTAACGGCTGAGTTCAGCAGTTGACCAGATATTTCTTGAATGTCACAACAGCGCCACCTGCGGGCCTTTCCCAGGTCCTGATGCGCCCACCAGGATATGAAAGATTGGTCTTTCATTCAGAATAGAGCAGGAAGGGAATTTGGAGGTCTTCTAGTCCAACCCCGTCAAGCAGGAGACCCTGTACCATTTCAGACAAGTGGCTGTCCAGTCTCTTCAAAGTGACAAAGTTATTCTAAGTCAAGGGTCTTCAAACTTGACAGCTTTAAGACTTGTGGACTTCAACACCCAGAATTCCTGAGCTAACATGACTGCAGGAGGAATTCTGGGAGTTGAAGTCCACAAGTCTTAAAGCTGTCAAGTACCTTTATACAACCAAGTATTGCTCTAAGTCTAAGTCTCTTCTTCAAAACCTCCAGTGATGAAGTACCCACAACTTCACACGGTGCAATAAGATTGTGTTTGTTAATAGGATTCACTGGATTAGGGACTTTTTGTCTTCACTGTGAATTGTGTTGGGGGGGCATGCACGAAGGGAGGCTCAGCCAATCTCATTTTACATATGTCGTACTCTGACAATAAAGGTTGAAATTGAATTGAAGGAAAATCAAAAAGTAATTTTGAGTTGGTGTGAGCAATAGCTCATATTCTGGATTAGGCATCGCCAACCTGTTGGACCTCAGGGACCACCAAAATTATAATTTTAAATCCCGAGGACCAGAGTCCCTGGGAAAATCCCCAAAAAAGTTTGCAGGAAAATTCCTCACTCAGTTTTCCTACCGATCGATCATTCTTTATTTGGGATCGCAGGATACCGTTTCCAGCTCCGTTCTCAGGGGGAAAAAGAGAGAGAGAGACTTTTGGCTTCATGCAAGGAAAGCAGCAGAAGTCTTTCTTTCTCTCCCCCAAACTCTGCCAGAAATGAGTGTTTGTGAGACTTGTCGCGCTGGCACAGCCTCTTGGAGCAGGAGGCCTTGCAGGGTCCCAAAGACTCATTTCTGGTGAAGAAAGAAAGACTTTTGCTGCTTTCCTTGCATACAGCCAAAAGCAGAAGAAAGAAGCAGAAAGAAGCAGCCAGTGGCCAGACCAGGCGCATGGGGCGCGTGGGGCAAGTTCCCCCCCTCCACCCTTCTCCCCCTCCCCTCACTACCTCGTGTTGTTCACAATACAAGTGACGCAAGCCTAGTGTGGATTAATTGCTTTGGGGGCTGCTTTGGGCATGACATTTCTCTGTGGACCACCAAAATTTTCTCACAGACCACCAGTGGTCCCCAGCCCACATTGGCAACCACTGTCCTGGATTACACTGTGCTATAATAGAGGTGAAGCAATAGAATATTGGACTGTGGAGCCCAACCAGTCCATTCCCACCAACATTTGCAGGATCCTATGGTTACGTGACTGCAATTTGTGGCATTTTTTTGCAGTTTTTTTGGTCTCCGGCATTCCCTTATCATCCTATTCTGGACACATTTTGTGAAGATCTGGGTCTGGAGAAGGCTTTAATGCTGGAAAGTTCCAAGGAAAGAGGATGGCCAGCAAGCCAGGTGGATAAACTCAGTTGCCATAGTGACGGGTGGATCCTTGGAAGATTTGAAGGACCAATTTAGAAACACATCCGAATGAACCAAATCTGTGTACAGGTAGACGTCGACTTAGCTCATTTAATGGCCATTTGAAGTTATAATGGCACTGAAGTGACATGACCCATTTTTCGCTAACAACCTTTGCAGCATCTCCTTGGTCACGCGATCCAAATTCAGAGGCTTGGCAACTGGTTCATATTTATGATGGTTTGTGGCGTCCCAGGTTCATGCGATGAGCTTCTGCGACCTTTTTAACAATCAAAGTTCAAGGGGGAAGCCAGATTCATTTAAGAACTGCAGTGATTCACATAACAACCATAGCAAGACAGGACGTTCATAGCAAGGTTCATTTTAACAAATGTCTCGTTTAACAACTGAAGCGTTGGGGTCAGTTGTGGTCGTAAGTGGAGGACTAGCTGTATTCATAGTAGGCAATGGTGACTTGATGGCACATATAATCTTCTTCCCGGACCTAACACAGACTGATTGGTGCAAGGGCACCCAAATTGGCAGGACTAGAGCGTGAGTTCTAGTAGTTCTGGCAGGACTAGAACTCACGCCCAGCTTGGCATCTTAACCCATGGGCGGAATTAAAGCCCGCAGCCTATTGCAACCCAGGTTAACGGCTCTAACGGCCCGTTCTGAAAGGGGAGGGGCTAGCAAAAGAAAGACCTGGCGACCACGCCTCCACCGCTCGCAGAAGCCGCCGAGAATGCTGGGATTCGGAGTCCGTTCCTCAGTAGCTAAGCACAAGCGGCTTCCTCCGCGGGACTACAGTTCCCGAAAGGCTTTGCGAAGCGAACGACCAGGTGCGGCGCGCGCGGCCCTCTGGGAGAGGGCAGGGCGCCTTCTAAAGCCGAACTTCGTTTCCCAGCATGCCTTGGGCGAGCGCCCAAAACGGAAGAGGCGTTGCCGTGGTCACCGAGGAAGCTCGTCCGCCCGCTCGCTCTTCGCCGCGGCTCAAGTCGGCAGCGTCCCGGGGACGGAGCTTCCTCGCCTCCCTCCTCCCCGGGGCCAGAGCGCGGAGCGGAGAGCCGGCGCCATGGGCGGGGAGGAGGAGGAGGTCCTGCGCATCGCCAAGCGGCTCGACAAGATGGTCGCCAAGAAGAGCGTGGTGAGTGGGGGGCACCGACGCCGCCCGCCGCCTTCCCGGCCCGCGGAGGAGCCCGTCCGGAGGCCCGTCCTGCAGCACCGCCGCCGCCGCCGCCTCCTCCTCCGAGAACTCCCATTGCTCGGCCTTTCCAGTTTCTCAAAAAGAACCCCCCCCCCAGTCCGTCCTCGCCGCTGCCATGGCAACGCCCGCGCCGCATCGCCTGGAGAATGGGCCCCGCCCAAGACGGCCTCTTGGCCCCGCCTCCCCGTCGCTATTTAAATACCTTAGCCGTTGGTCACGCCCTCGCTCTTGCCGTGAAGCGCTCGTGGCTCCGCCCACTCTAGCGCTTCGCCCGCCGCTTTCAAGCCACGCCCCCTCGATCGCCGCAGCCTTGGCTGGACGCCTTCGCCGTCCTGTTCTGTCGATCGTAACTTCGCGCGCCCGCCCGCGTTTTATTTTGGGGGGTGGGGGAGCGGGAGGGAAACGAGACGGTCCTCTTGGCCCGGGCTGGGATCCTGCCTGCTCACTTCTTTTGCGTGTTTCCGTAGATTCCTATGACTTGATCTGGATTCCGGGAGATGCTGCTTGTCCTTAAAAAACTGCTTCCCCCTCCCCACCCCCGGGGAGATTTTTTGACATTTTGCCCGAGATTTCCTGGTGGTCTCCCATCCAGGTAGCCTCCCCCCGAATCCAGCTTCATTGTTTTGAGCCAATCCAAACTTAACCCGGGGTTGCCACCTGCTGTAAGCAAAGAGAAAGGCTTCCTCAAGCTGCTTATAACATCCATGTCCAGGTAGTGCTCGGCCTAGGACCACAAAATTGAGCCCAAAATTTATGTTGCTAAGTGAGAAATTTGGTAGCCACAGCAGTAGATTTAGATACCGCTTTATAGGGCTTTACAGCCCTCTCTAAGCGGTTTACGGAGTCAGCAGATTGCCCGCAAGAATTCGGGTCCTTATATGTGAGTTTTGCCCCATTTTACGACTTTTCTTGCGGCAGTTGTTAAATGGATCACCGCGGTTGTTAAGTGAATCTGGCTTCCCCATTGACTTTGTCAGGTCGCAAAGGGGGATGACATGATCCCCGCCCACTGCAACCGTCATAAATGTGAGTCAGTTGTCAAGCATCCATAAATCATGTGATTATGGGGATGCTGCAATGGTCGTAAGTGTGAAAAATGGTCATAAGTCACTTTTTTCAGTGCCGTTGTAACTTTAAACAGTCACTAAAAGAACTTGTAAGTCGAGGACTATCTGTTGTTTGATTTCTTGGGTGAAAAAACTTACTGCCCGAGAAATCTACAATAGGTAGCAATACCTAGCCAACTTTGACTGGTCTCAGAAGAAAAATAGGGCTGGATCTGGCTAATATTTGGATGGGAGACTGCCAAAAGAAACAAGGGCTGTAAGATTCATTGGGGAGAGGGGGAATCACTAGAATAGAATTAGAATAGAATAGAATTCTTTATTGGCCAAGTGTGATTGGACACACAAGGAATTTGTCTTGGTGCAAATGCTCTCAGTGTACATAAAAGAAAACATACATTCATCAAGAGTCAAGAATCATCAAGTACAACACTTAATGATAGTCATAGGATAGAATAAGCAATCAAATCCTACTAGGAAACAGTCAATATAAATCGTAAGGATACAAGAGAAAAAGTTACCATCATGCAGTCACAAGTGGGAGGGGATGGGTAAGAAGGAGTGATGAGAAGATTAACAGTAATAGTAGTGCAGATTTTGTAATAGTTGAACAGTGTTGAGGGAATTATTTGTTTAGCACAGTGATGGTGTTAGGGGAAGAAACTGTCCTTGTGTCTAGCTGTTCTGGTGTGCAGGGCTCTATAGCATCGTTTTGAGGATAGGAGTTGAAATAGTTTATGTCCAGGATGTGAGGGGTCTGTAGATATTTTCACAGCCCTCTTTTTGACTCCTTCAGTATACAGGTAGTCCTTTATTTATAATCATAATTGGGACCAGAATTGTGAAACGAGGTTGTTAAATAATTGCACCTGATTTTATGGCCTTTTTTGGGGGGGGGCACAGTTGGTAAACGAATCACTACAATTGCAAAGTGAATCAAAGTTGGGTTCCCCCCACAGGTGGTATTCAGCAGGTTCTGACCTCAGGAAATTTTGAGTAGTTCGAAGAACCGGCAAATGCCACCTCCGACTGGACATTTTGCAGTATCCTTCCCCTGCCACGCCCACCAAGCCACGCCCACAGAACCTGTAGTAAAAAAAACTGAATCCCATCACTGGTTCCCCCCCTTGAGTTTGCTTCTCAGGAAGCCAACTGGGAAGGTCACAAATGGCGACTACATGACCAGCCCCCAAATGTTTGATCCCATAACTTTGGGGATGCTGTGATGGTCGCAAATGTGAGGACTGGTTATAAGTCACTTTCTCTAGTGCTGTTGTAACTTGAAGCTGTCGCTAAACAAATGGTTGTAACTCAAGGTCTACTTCCGAGCTGTTTGTAAAGAACTACCGAGAGCTCTCCCACCAACACTCACAGAGCAAGCCACTAGTATATAAAAAGAGAGCAAACACCACTTCTGATTAGCACTGATGATGTTACCTAGTTGGGGTAATAAAACATCTGCAATCTTGTCTAATTTGAAAGATTTAGGCAACCACAGTTTAATTTTTCTTTTGTTTCATATAATATTATTTCAATTGATATACGGTATATTTTGACCAAACTACTTTTTTATACTGTATCCCACTCTCTGTTTGATTGGTAGCGGCCCTTTATTTCTGGTTATACTTATGAATACGAGCCCCTTTTCTATATTTACATCACCTCATCAAAACGACTTAACAGTTTGATATTGGATGTCTCTTAACTTGTGGAATTTCTTTTATTTTTGAGGAAGGGGCAATGGACTTGCTGAAGGAACTGAAAAGTATGCCGATAACCCTGCATTTACTACAGGTAAACCATGGTGTTGACTCTCTCTTTCCTTCTAACATGTTCCTCACTTTCTCTATACTTCTTTGGGTATTATATTTTGAAAAAGATTAATACTTGATCATGAATGAAGTCATATGCTATCTGACCGCTTCCTGTCATGTGAAAGATGTTTTGAAATGCCTCGCTCCACTATATAATAGCAATAGCACTTAGACTTATATACCAATTTATTGTGGTATATAATACTCTTCAAAACCCATTGCTGAATGTGGTTTGGTGTCCCATAGCATGAAAATTAAAGTCAAGATTCTGTACACAGTAAGAAAAAAAAATAGGATAGAGATAAGATTTATAAAGTAAACAATTGTAAAGTTGTTGCTTTGTGAAATTAATGCAAATTGCCAAACAAACATGGAAACAAAGAAAAAAGGCGGAAGAAGGCCTAATATCCCACTCCGTTTGAGGTTTTTATTAATTTAACTAGCTTGATAACTCGTGCTTCGCTACGGAACTATGTGGTTGGGTTTAGTTTTGGGGGAGGAAAATAAGGGGAAAAAATTCTGCCTCTGCCTACCAGCATCCATCAGTATTCATCTGGCTAGCGTCCTGTCAGTGTGTGAGAAAGTTGAGGGCTGTTTGGAAACTGAAACAGTATTTGCTGTGTGAGCAAAGAGACAGCAAAGAGTCTGGATGTGGCTTAGCTCAACTGTTCTGTACTAAAGCTGGTTACTGCTATGAAACTGAAACTCCTCTGCTTGTGTTTTGCATTTGGAACAGATTTCAGGTGGGGAATAGAACTCTTTAGCATCAGAGCGTTGTTAATAATAATAATATAGGAAATACTCTAAATGCTCTGATGGTCCTTTTGAAAAATCCTTTCTTAATGAGCACCTACAAGCTAAGAGGAACATATGTGCCAAGTTTCAAGTTTGTAGGCTTTATGGTTCTGGAAATTTTGTGATGATGCATGAGTAGTATTATGCTTTTATATGTATAGATTTAATTTTGGGGGGATGATAGACATGTGTTTATCCCAAAATGTTTAAACTCAGTTACTTATATATGTTTGACTCACTACCTCCACTGGAAGTTGGTTTCAAGCTTGCACTATTCTTTCTGTGAATTCTAACATTAAGTTTGACGTGATACTCCCGTGTTCTTGATTTTTGCCTAATATTGAGAATACTGCCATTTAGAAAAATAGCATGCGGCTTGACCTTAACTTGTAGTTTGGGCAGTCTTCCTTTGCCTTTAATCTAGCTAGTTTTGGGGACAGTCACTTCTTTGTTTAATATTTTGCAGTCTACCCGAATCGGGATGTCTGTGAACGCCCTTCGGAAGCAAAGCACAGATGAAGATGTAATTGCACTTGCCAAGTCACTTATCAAGGCTTGGAAGAAACTCCTAGGTAAGAAATAGGCATGATGTAGGTGAGTCAAATAATAAAAACATAGAATAAATCAAGATACACCTACTTTTGGGTTTGAGCAACGTCATGCTCGTGCAGAATGTGAAGGCGGGAATTGCATCCCTTTCCCTGCACAGGTAGTCCTCAACATTTAGTCACCATTCAAAATTACAACAGCATTGAAAAAAGGGTGACTTATGACCATTTTTCAAAGTTACGACCATTACAGCATCCCCATGGTCACACGATCAAAAGTCAGATGCTTAGCAAGTGGTTCATATTTATAAAGGTTGCAGTGTCCTGTGTTGTGGCCTGCCAGCGGCCAGCAGATCTGGCAGCAGATTCAAACAGTGAGGAGGTTGTGGGAGGACATGAGCCAGTTCTGGAGTGTGGGGAAGGGTCTGACGAGGGCTCTGCGTTGGAGGCAGAGATGGGGCCAGGGCTGTCTGACAGTTATCAGCTGACTTCGGAGATCTCCCATCAGTCAGGCAGAAGAACAGCTGGAGCCTGTTCCCAGTGTGTGCATGCACAGGGCTGCCAGAAGAAGGGAACAGCTAAGGAACAAAGGTCGATTTGGGTGTAAAGCCACAGGTGGACTGTGAATGGCCCCTCCCATAGGGAATAAAAGAGGAGCGAAAGGGGAGTGGGGTTTTGCAGGAGACCATTAGTTTATTTGGGTGAAGATCTGTTCCTGCATTCTTGCCAAGTATTGTCTCCTACAGCGTGGCCTCTGAAAGATATCGGCCTGGCAACTCTCCAAGCTTGATAAAGGTCTGTAATTGTGAAATCTCTTGAAAGACTGTTGGCCGGGACTTTGCCGTAGAGGAATTTACTTTAACCTAAATAAAGGGGGTTTATCAGGACGAGGAGTTGGCTTCATTCTGTTAGAGAAGCCTGGGTCAGAACCTCCTGAATGTGGTCGTGGGATCCGCTTTTGCGATCCCCTGACAAGCAAAGTCAGCGTGGAATCCAGATTCACTTAACAGCCATGTTGCTAACTTAACAAATGCAATGATTCCGTTAACAACAGTGGGTAGAAAAGCTGCAAAATGGGGCAAACTCGCTTAACAAATGTTTCACTTATTAACATACATTTTGGGCTCAATTATGGTCGTAATTTAAGGGCTACCTGTAGAGGTTTTTATCACACCATGATTTCTAGGTTACTGTTTTTGCCAACCTTCCTGGTTAAACTAAGATAGGAAACTTGACCAGATGAACTAAATCTGCTAAGGTAAGAATGCTAACCTTAACCGAATCTTGCAAGTCTGAAGTTCCTGCCTGCCCACTTTTAACTGCTAGAGCCATTAGGGAAGGTCCCCGCTAACCATTAAACCAGTTTTTCTGTGGGACTTCAACTCCCAGAATCCCCCCACCCTCCAGCAACGATTAGGGCAAGACTGCATGATAAATTCTGGGAATTGAAGTCCCAGACACCTGAAAGTTGCCAAGGTTGAGAAACATTGCTGTAAACTCAGAATTCCCCAATCCTAACAAACCTTGATGAATTCCTAATTGCACTACTTCATACCAAGTCCATGAATGCAGGTAGTCCTCGAGTTACGATCACAGTTGAGCCCAAAATTTATGTTAATAAGTGAAACATTAAGTGAGTTTGCCCCATTTTACGATTTTTCTGGCCACAGTTGTTAAGTGAACCATTGCATTGGTTTAGTTAGTAACACGGTTGTTTAGTGAATCTGGCTTCCCCATTGACTTTGCCTGTCAGGAGGTCACAAAAGCAGATCACATGACCCCGGGACACTACAACCGTCATAAATATGAGCCAGCTGCCAAGCATCTGAATTTTGATCCATGCGACCTTGGAGATGCTGCAACAATCGTAACTTTGAAAAACGTTCATAAGCCACATGTTTTCAGTGCCATTGTAACTTTGGGTCACTAAATGAACTGTTGTAAGTCGAGGACAATCAGTACTGAGATTCATGGCTGCTATCTTGATAATCGATCCTCAAATGCTTATTACAAAGATTTTACTTCTAAATTAAATGGAGTTCAATGTTCGTTAAGCGCTGCAGAGATCATAAAAAGAAACCAATAACAATTATGCACCTTCCCAAAGTCAAAGCAATCGAACATGAAGTTCAAACGGAGGACAAGGTAAATATATAGGAACACAGCCTTAACCCTGAATGTTCCCCTGCTACTTCTCTTTTGAGAAGTAACGGATTTCCAGGAAAAAGGTGTATATCTAGAACTGGATTATTTTCCTGCCAAAAACTTGTTTGTTGCTCTGTCTTTTTAATTGCCAGAAAAATAGCCTCTCCATCATTGTCCGTGTCTCCATCATTGTTCCAAGCCTCCTCAGGTATTAAACAAACATAGAAACATGGACCATGCTGTTGTCTTCTGCTTTGGAGGCTAGCTGTCTCAGAAGAGGATCTTATGACCAAGGAATGAGCCGTCCTAGAACCTCACTAGAGGCAAAAGACCCGTTGCTTCCTTATGGCTGAGTTCATTCTTTACCGCTTGTCCTTCTTCCTCCTTAACTCTCTTCAGATGCTTCCGAAGATAAGAGAGATGAAAAGAAGAAGAATTCTTTGTCAGCTTCTTCTTCAAAAGAGACCAGGGATTCACGAGACCAAAGGTAATCCTTCCCTTAGCCACAGAAAGTGATATTCTACTGGTTGTCCCCTTAATCCACCCAAGTTTTGTGTCAAATGCTTATTTAATTCATATCCCACCTTTAGTATTTGTTTTATAAACAACTCAAGGCAGTGAACATAGCCAATACTCCTCCTCCTTCCTGTTTTTCCCAACAACAATCCTATGTGGTGGGCTGGGCAGAGAGGGGGAGAGAGAGAGTCTGGCCCAATGTCACCCAGCAGCTTTCATGTCTAAGGCGGGACTGGAA